CTTGGAGCCGCCGCCGTTTTCGTACCACGCGACCTCTCGGGGGGAGGTAGAAGCGAGGAGGGAGGCACGATGAAGGAGGAAGAGGAGGATCAGGAGGAATACGAAACAACATACTATGTAGAGGAAGGAGGATGCTGCGACACACCCACCCGTGCACATCCCTCACTCAGAAGTCAGAAGAAACCTTGTCACTAAAAGTATCGCCACTTCGAAGACCAGAAGACTGTGGGCCTGCAAATCATGCGAGAGCCCGCTTTTGAGATGGAACTCATTTACTTGCATCCTTCCATCGGGGAGAAGAAATGCGAAAGGGCATGATCATACGATTCACCCGTGTTCAACGATATCCCAATCGCGAACTGAGACAGCCCCGATCCATGTATCCCCTGCGCAAGTCTGTACTACTGCTCATGAACTTGGAACACGTCGCAAACGAGAACCCCATCTTGACAAAGAACCGCCCTCCATACATACAGATGCTACTGAAAGGGCCATGGGACACACACAAATACATAGACACAACTAACCGGATTCCCAATGTGTTCCCATAGCTCCTACGTGGTTGTCTTCCCTCCACTTGCCATATGTTCACATCTTTTCGGGGGAATCAACGATTAATTGTGTCTGTGTGTTTCTTTTTCCCTCCTGACACCTGTTCAGTTTTCTTCTGTTGGTCTGAGAAGGATGAGCCAAGAATCCGGGAGGAGCAGGAGGCCTCGGCGGGGTGGGATGTCCACAGACGCGCATAGGTTAACAACACACTGGATAATCTCGACCGGCCCAGACCGATCTGTAAAGAGTCCCAGGACCCGATAACCAGGCATAACCTCCGAGGCTGAACCTAAACGATGTTGTTCATTTTCGTTTTGTTTTCGTGCTCCCTCGTTTTGTCTTCAATCCGCCTACGAAAACGGCCCACGAAATCGCGACAACACTGTTCAGGTCCACCCCTGTCACCTCCTGGCGTGGAAAAGAAGGCCCGACACCCAGATTCCAGAGGAGGAAACGATGCCTTGCGCACGAGAACTTAGCGGTCTCCCCAATCATCTGCCGATGCGTTCTGCTGCCCGTGCGCGACCCCAGGATCCGCGACTCCTCCCGCGGGGGTAGGCCTTCACCGCAGACCAGATTTAGTGAAGGGGCCCAGGGACACACAAATAAATACACACAAATAACCAGATTCCCCACATGTTCCCATATTTTCTAGGGGATCGACGATTAATTGTGTCTGGGTGATTTTTCCCTCCTGGTTTAATAAGAAGACACTGACAGATAGTCAAAGGACTAGTCGACCAGTCGTCCCCCGCCTATTTTCCTGACGTTGTTGGCAGATTCCTCCTGCAAATGGGACATGCCCGGCCTAATTCCAAGTTAGGGAGCCCATAACTATGTACGCGCCCAGCTATGTACATGAACACGGCCCCTCGACCCGCGAGACCGGCCGCGTCATACGAACATTTGCGCAATGCGCACTCTCGAAACCAGCGTGGATTCATGTACATGTACGTCCTTCTTTCGCTCCTGATTCAAGTGGTCCCCGAAACCGGGCCCAGGAGGCCGCGCTCGAGGATTTCTCATGGACAGCCGCAGCCATTCACCCCCCTTCATGCAGAGGAGGCCCGACCACCAGAAACCTTGCACAAGAAACCCGACCCTGAGACCCCAGGACGTCCACTGGATTCTTGTTGGTGCGGGAGCGTCACGCGTCCCATGGCAAGACCGTCGAAGCCCAAGAAACACCCGGGGCAACCTGGAGGCGAGCAGTGTGCTTCTTGGCATGGGCTCCCACGATACGTGTCGTCGAAGCAGGCGGATATGTTTCGGACGTTTGCGAGTAGGCTTAGGTCGGGCATGTCCCCGTATAGGCGGATATAGTACGAACAAAAACAAAAATACCCTAAACATACTCCAACATATTCAAACATAGTCAAAACATCGTCCCCGGATTCTTTTTGGACTATTTTTGAATATTCCTCCTGCAGAGGGACAGGCCCGACTGTAGAGGAGGCACTCCGCGAGCAGTGGAGCGCGCTCGGTGACGCTCGCGCGCCCGACCCCCGAGCTCGGATCGGCGGCGAGCGAGAGGGGGGACCCTGAGAAGGACAAGGCCTGCTCGGAAGGCAGCGGGGCTTCTTAGAGGGCCTCCCGCGCCTTCCGAGCAGTTTTTGTATGCGCCCTCTCGGGCCGGGCGAAAGGGGGGGATAGCAAAGGGCGGGGTTGAGAATCAGCTCACGTAGCTGATTTTCCCGCCGACTCCCAGCGCCAGAGGCGCCCATGTATCGAGGAATGGGCCCCTCGGCGGGGCCGAAACCAGCTGCATGCAGCAGATTTCGGAACCCCCCCTTTCCCTAATTATCTCCCCCCCTGTCGTCCGGCCCGATCCTCGGGGGAGGCCTGGAAACAACTCCCCGGCAGGCCTTCTGAGAGGAGGCCCGCCCCTTTCTCATCTTCCCCCCTTTACCAGCCTGGAACATACCCCTATCCCTATGCTGGGCACATCCTCATCACGCTGCCAATCTTAGGGGTTCCCTTATTTTTTGAAGGCGAATCCCTAAGATTGTCATCGCCCTTTGGCGTGTCAATCTTAGGGATAGGGATACGCTCGAGGCTGGTAAAAGAGGAGGCTCCAGCACACTCACAGGCACCACTGCCCGCGCGCCACGGAGCGCGGGCGGCCGAGATCTGCGCGGGCGCCCTCGCGGCCGACCTCGTGCCATGGCGTCGCTCACGCGCGCGCCCGGCGTCGAGAGCTTGAAGCTCGCGCCGGAGTGGGGAGGGAGCACCGAGAACCCCATCAGCAGGAGAAGAAGCATCCAGGGCATCCCTCCCCCAAGGAGGAGGAGGGGGAGGGGGAGGGGGAGGTGGAGGGGGAAGGGGGAGGGAGGGAGGAGGAGGAGGAGGAGGAGGAGGAGGAGGAGGAGGAGGAGGAGGAGGGATCATATGAACGATGCTCACAGTCTCCCACCCGAGCTCGTCCCTCCCCCCAACCGCCTTCGGAAGTCTTGGACGTTTGAGACGACGATGGGCAACGGCGAGGAAGGGGAGGGAGGGGGAGGGGCACGACGACGGGAGGTTTTTCACAATTTTCGGCTACTGCGGGCCCCTTATACCGCGCCTCAGAACCGCCAACAAACGACGCAGGATGAGAGACCGGTCCCTGGGAATAGGTCCCCGAGGAGGAGGAGGCGGAGGAGGAGGAGGAAGAGGACGAGGAGGAGGAGGCCGGAGGAGGAGGAGGAGGAGGAGGAGGAGGAGGAGGAGGAGGAGGAGGAGGGAGGAATGGGAGGAGGGGGGGGAGGAGGAGGAGGAGGAGGAGGAGGAGGAGGAGGAGGAGGAGAGGAGGAGGAGGAGGAGGAGGAGGAGGAGAGGAGGAGGAGGAGGAGGAGGAGGAGGAGGAGGAGGAGGAGCAAGGAGGAGGACAAGGAGGAGGAGGAGGAGGAGGAGGAGGAGGAAGAGGGGGCCGACCCCTGGGCGGTGACACGCTCGAGCGTCGCCCAAAACTACTGGACGACTCCCGGGCGTGTGGCACCGACCAGTGCCCGCCCCCCCCCCCATCCACGGGGTTCTCGGCGGCGGCGGGTCCCTGTTTCCCCTCATACTATCCCGACACCCCACGATTTCTGAGGGGGAGGGTGGGGTTCGCTTCGCTCGGGAGCTCCCTACCTCAGGGTCGCGAGCCTAGCCCGAAGAGTGTCCACTGCAATGTGCACGGTGGCGGTTAATAACCTAAAATCGTGACAATGTCAAGTCGGGCGTGTCCCACTGCAGGCGGGGTTTGGACGAAAACCACAGAATATTGAAAGAACGTGCAAACATGACCCAAAATAATAGAAACATTGTGCCCGTACTACGTTTTGCCTGTTTTTGAGTTTTCCTCCTGTAGAGGGACACGCCCGACTTCGTGGTAGTGCTCCGGCCCCCGAACGGAATCGGATGCGCGGGGCCGCGCGACGCAGGAGCCCCCGCGCCGTGGGATTTTTTGCCGGCCGGGCACACCATTTGGGGACAAGCTCAGGGCTACACTGTGTGTGAGGGTGGGTCCATCTTGGCGGCGCGCACAAGGGGGTGGAGGGAGGGGGGAGGGCTTCTTAGAAGGAGGCTGCTTCTTAGAAGGCGCCGGCCTTACATCTACAGAGAAGGCCCGCGCCTTCTAAGAAGCAGGGGTGCTTCTAAGAAGCCTTCCCCCCTCCTCCTACCCCCCTCTGCGCGTGGCCGACCATCTTCGATCGCCAGGATCACGTGTTTTTTTTTTCGGCGTTTCGACATTGGGCGGAAGGGGGAGAGGGGGGGGCGTCTGGCTCCAGAGCTTTGGGTTCTGAGAACATTCTGTGGCAGGCCTACAGGAATGCCGGGACGGTCGGCCCCTGCCCAAGACCGGCAGATCGAGGCGGACCCAACCGTGGCGACGAGGGACGGGCGGCGCCACCGGCGCTTTCCCCTTCCCGTGGGTACAGGATTCGGGAGCGGCCAAGAGGGAGGTGTCCAAGAGGGGGGGGTGCACATCATGGCCGGCGGCATGTGCGCGGCCCAGCGGGGGGGCCAGGGACGTAATGAAATAAAAAGGGGCGCCATGAAATCTGGGGAAATATCATGGCTCCCGCCATGATATCCACCCCGCCTAGTCATCACCCCCCTCGTTTCCGCCCCCAAAGGATGCTCCCTGCGGACCTTCGGGATCGTGCAGCGGCACGCCTCCTGCCGCACCGCCGCCGGACCGCTCGCAGCCACCGGGAACGCCGACGACGGGGGGCCCGAGGCACGTGCGCGGACGGGAAGGGGGCCTGGGCATGCGCTCGATAGAGGTGGGGCGATACAGTCAAAACGTATATGAAGGACGCGTGGTAAGGACGCAAGACCCTTGGAGGCTGAAGTTGGGATTTTTTGGGCGGCGGCGACTAGTGAAAACGGCAAAGGACGGGCCACAGAGGCAAGGACGCAAGGGTATCCTAGATGAAGGCGCGCGTCCTTACTAGGTGCGTTGACTATAACATCTAGACGATACCGTTGCGGCATGGCCCTGGCCACGAGCTCTCCCCTCCGTTCTCGCATCCCTCCTGCAGGAGCAACGATACGGGGGGCTCCGGCCACCGATAGCGCGTCCGAACAATCCCGGGCGGGGTGGCCTATTAGAGGTCGCTGTCCCCCCCTCGGGTTGTCAATGCACCCCCAGAACGCTCTCGGCGAGGCGCAGCCGCTAGAAGGCATCCCGCGGCCGGAGAGCCGACGAGAGCCAACGAACACGTCCGAAAACCTCTGCCCCCGAACCCAAAACTTCCCCCTCCCCCCTTGAGCCTAGCCCTATATTTTTTTCGGAGAAGAAGGAGGGGACGACCGGCATGCTGCTGTAAAGTATCTTGCTGAAAAATTATGCCACCGGTCAATTTCTGCCGCGCGTCGCCACGGAGTGCACGGGTTACTCGAGAGATGTTGCGGTCGCCCCCCCCCCCCCTTGAGCATATCCTTATATTCGGGCCGGGCGAAAGGGGGGGATAGCAAAGGGGGGTTTTGAGAATCAGCTCGCGTAGCTGATTTTCCCGGCGCCTCCCAGCGCCGGAGGCGGCTAGCGCAGGAGGCGGCTATGTATCGAGGAATGGGCCCCTCGGTGGGGCCGAAACCAGCTGCATGCAGCAGGTTTCGTAACCCCCCCTTTCCCTATCCCCCCCTTCGTTCGGCCCGATATATGTAGCGTTGCCAGTGGAAGCCTCGCCCCCCTCCCAGGGCGGCCCAAGCCAGCGGCCGGGCCCCGAGGCCGCCGGGGCCTTGTTGTCGTAGCGCGACGCGGACAGCACGTCGGGGCGCTGGAGAGCGGAAGGGCGGGGATTGGGAGCGGAAGAACTGGGAGGCCTGGAGATGGGCACCAACACCAAGACAGAGGGCTGCCACAGGGGGGAGGTGGTCCTAGATTTCGGTGTTGGTGTTTCGGCCACCTTGGAAGCCAGAAGATCACCACCATCACCGAGATCGGGATCTTCTTCCCTCGGTGGAGGAACACCGCCGATCTTGGTGTTGGTGTCAACCTCTAGGCCTGCGAAGAACAGACGGATCAATAGCCTTAGGTCTGGCGTGTCCCCCTACAGGGGGGATTTTGGGCGAAACACAAACCATACTCAAAACAAACCCTCCTAATGGGCAAAAATCAGAATGAGGGGGCTGAACCGAACGGTCATTCACTGTCCCTGGGTGCGTGGCTGAAGTGCAATTGTTGTTGTTGTTGTTGTTGTTGTTGTGGTGGTGGTGGTTGTTGTTGTTGTTGTTGTTGGTGTTGCTACTGCTGTTGATGTCGTTGTTGTTGATGTTGTTGTTGTTGTTGTGGGTTGTTGGTTGTTTGTTGTTTGATGTGTGTTGTGTGTTGTTTGTTGTGTGTTGTGTGTTGTGTGTTGTTTGTTGTTTGTTGTTTGTTGTGTGTTGTTTGGTGTTTGGTGTTTGGTGTTTGGTGTTTGGTGTGTGTTGTTTGTTGATTGTTGTTTGTTTGTTGTTTGTTGTGTATTGTGTGTTGTTGCTTGTTGCTTGTTGTTTGTTGTTTGTTGTTTGTTGTCGTCGTCCCACCCGCGACCCACCCCGCGACCCACCCGCGACCCACCCCGCGACCCACCTGCGAACCCACCCGCGACCCACCCGCGACACACCCTGCGACCCGCCCGCGACCCACCCCGAGACCTCCCCCGGCGACCCACCCGCGACCCACTGGCGACCCACCCGCGACCCTTCTGCGTCCCACCCCGCGACCCACCCGCGACCCACCCGCGACCTACCCGCGACCCACCCGCGACCCACCCGCGACCCACCCCGCGACCTACCCGCGACCCCCCCGCGACCCACCCGCGACCCACCCCGCGACCCACCCAAAATGTTCGGCGCCTGCGGCGGGTTTCTCTTGCATTGGTTCCAGGTGGAGAGTCTGCGACCCAGCCGCGACCCAAACCGCGCCCGCGACCCACCCGCGACCCACGGCGACCCACCCGCGACCCACCCCGCGACCCACCCAAAATGTTCGGCGCCTGCGGCGGGTTTCTTTTGCATTCGTTCCAGGTGGAGAACCTGCGACCCAACCGCCGCGTTCAGTGTACAAATCAAAATGTTCGGCGCCTGCGGCGGGCTGTTTTTGAATTCCTTCCAGGTGGAGGTGGAGAGCCCGCGACCCACCCGCGACCCAAACTACGTTCACTGAACAAACAAAGAATTCGGCGCCTGCGGCGGGCTTTTTTTGCATTCGTTCCAGGTGCAGCGACCCCCCCGCGCGCTGAACTTGTCAGAGCACGACGGCGACGATGAGGACGAGGACGCGGACGAGGAAGAGGAGGAGGAGCAGCAAGAGGAGGAGGAGGAGGAGGAGGAGGAGGAGGAGGAGGAGGAGGAGGAGGAGGAGGAGGGCGTCATCGACAGGGAAGGTGAGGGCCACGAGGTCCGCCAGCTCGACGCCCGCGTCGCCCGCGCCCGCCCCCTCACTCTTATCCGCACTTGCGGGGTGCTGCGTATTCAACAAGTCGTCCCTGGACTATTTTTCTACTATTTTTGACTATTCCTCCTGTAGAGGGACAGGCCCGACTTAACAATAACCCCAACAATACAATCACCGTGCTGTGGACATCGAGAGCGCAGTCGCGGCGATGAGAGCAAAACCCAACAGACGCTCACCACGGCAGACTCCTCTCCTGAGCACGGACTCGGAGTGAGGGTGGGGGGAAGGAGAGGGCGGGGGAGGGACAGCCACCGTGCTACATCCAGAGGCCGCTGAACGAAGAACGGAAGGGGGACTCTGGCCGCGCCGGACCACGGCGACGGACGGGTTCCCCGACCTGGCCCCCGCAATGATATCCCCCCCCCTAGTCATCACCTCCCTCTTTTCCGCCCCCGATTCACAGGTCTGCGCGGATTTCTTGGATCGGCGCCGGGACACTCCCCCCTGTGGCGGCGGGTCCCGGCGCGAAGACCTCGTGAGCCCACCCAGAAAGGTTGCCAGCCAGGAAAGAGCCCCTGAGCTCGAGCAATGATTCCCCGCGTGCTGGCTCAAGCAATCATTCCCCACGTCCCGGCCGCGTCGCACCCCGCGCTCCTCAGTCACGCCCTCTCCTCCCCTACTCCTCTTGCTGCTTCTTCCCACCCGCACACAGACAGACACAGACAGAGACACAGACACAGGCACAGACACGCAAGCACATACGCACAGACACACACAGACACAGGGACACACACACAGACAGACACCCGCAATCACACAAACAGACACAGACACGCAAAGACACACACACACAAACACAGACACAGACACACAGACGCACACACACACACACAGACACTCATATACAAACAAAAACACACAGACACACAGCCACAGAAACATAGACAGACAAGGACACTAACACAGGCACAGACACGCACACAGACACAGACACAGACACAGACACAGACACAGACACAGACACAGACACAGACGCAGACACAGACACACACACACACATACTCACATGCACGTGCACACATACACGCAATGACATAATCACTCACACGCGACGCGCACCACACTATTCACACCACAGGGGGTGCGCAGGTGGTGGTCCCTCAATGGTTTCTCAACACCAGAGAGGCTGCGCAGGGGGTGGTCCCCCTATCCGTTGCGGGCTCGCAGAGCGTGGCAGGCGTGGCACTCTCTCGACGACACAGAGGCTGCAAAAGGTGTGGTCCCCATATCCGCTGTGGGCTCGCAAACCGTGGCATGCGTGGCACTTTCTCCACACCAGAGAGGCTGCGCAAAGGGCGGTGTCTCTATCTTTTGCGTGCTCGTCGCAAACCGTGGCAGGCGTGGCACTTTCTCGACACCAGAGAGGCTATCCGCTGCGTGCTCGCAAAGCATGGCAGGCGCGGCACTTTCTCGACACCAGAAAGGCTGCGCAGGGGGTGGTCCCCGTATCCGTTGCGGGCTCGCAAAGCGTGGCAAGCGCTGCACTTTCTCGACACCAGAGAGGCTACGCAGGGGGTGGTCCCCCTATCCGTTGCGGGCTCGCAAAGCGTGGCAGGCGTGGCACCTTCTCGACACCAGAGAGGCTGCGCAGGCGGTGGTACCCCTATCCGTGGCGGGCTCGAAAAACGTGGCAGGCGTGGCACTGTCTCGACACCAGAGAGGATGCGCAGGGGTGCTTCCCCATATCTCACACCAGATATAAGACAAATATGTGGGGGCCATCCGTAGCGCAATTACGGAAAATCTTGACCCTCGACCTGGATCCTCCACCACCCATCGCACGACCGACGAACAGATCTATATCCACACCCTCACGATCTGGACACACAAGCGGGATCCAATGGATACGCGATCGCATGGGTCCGTTCCGCGCGGGGACTCCTCGAAAAACCTCTCGGTTTCCATGGGGTCGAGGCCGAAGCCTATGCCGAGAGGCCGTGGATATGGATACGATTCCTGGTCACGACCCCCTCGCCACCACCCTGAATGAAAATCGCTCCCCGTCGCCGTTCATGTCGGCGACGTTGACAAACGACGCACCTCGGGCCACTCCGACCCGGCGGCGTGCCAGTCAGGCGCGCACGGGCATCGAAGCCGGCGCGACCGCAAGGCGTGCAGCCGAAATTGCGACAAAACACGCCCTCGGAATCGAATGCCGACGAGCTATTTTTGTTGGATGCGTTCGGGGACGGACGGCTTTTTCTTCGGGGCCTACAGAGGCCTGGGCCTCCGACGTCTCGGCAGTGCATGCATCATCTGGTCTGTTTCGCCATCTGCGGTGCCGCTTTCGATGATGGGCCTGTTTCCCACCACCACCACCACAAGTTGGATGGGGTGAGGAGGAGAAGGACGAAGAGGAGGAGGAGGAGGAGGAGGAGGAGGAGGAGGAGGAGTAGGAGGAGGAGGAGGACGAAGAGGAGGAGGAGGAGGAGGACGAAGAGGAGGAGGACGAAGAGGAGGAGGAGGAGGAGGAGGAGGAGGAGGAGGAGGAGGAGGAGGGGGTGGAGGAGCGGGATGAGGAGGACCACCTCCCCCTCCAACGTATGGTGGTGGTGGTGGTGGGCATCGGGCCCATCACTCGAGCCCCGCGGGGCCAGACCCGTCCCCGAGCCGGGGGCAGCGCCACAGCTGGGCCACAGCGCGAGCCCCGCGCGGCCACGGAGCGGCTCCCCCAACCCTGGGCTCCAGTCGGGGAACGTCCTCCTGCAGGCGCATGCTGGAGGGAAAGTCCGCCGACCCCGTCGGCGTGTGGGAGAGGCTACTCCGTTTGACTCGTCGTCGTCGTCGTCGCCGTCGTCGTCGTCGTCGTCGTCGTCGTGGTCGTCGTGGTCGTCGTCGTCGTCGTCGTGGTCGTCGTCGTCGCCGTCGTCGTCGCCTTCGCCGCTCCCCTTTCCTTCGTCGCCGCTCCCCCCACTTTCACTGGGCCCTGCTCCTCGAGCGCGCCAGCCACAGCGAAATGGAGCAACTTTGTAATTGAATCGAAGGGAACGCCTCTCCCTTTGATCCCTTCCCCGCGGGGGGGGGGCCCGGGGGTGTCGCCACCCAGATACGACTGCCCCCCAGGCGGTTCGGAGGCACAGAAAAGCCCCAGGACGCGGCTAAAGTGCCCAAAGATGCCCCGACGGTCCTCGAGGGCTCCGTATCGCTGAAGTATCGGTCCAAGTCGCCAAAGTGGCCTCCAGACGGCTCAAAAGGTTTACAAAACGCCGAGAGGCCTCCAAGAGGACGTCCAAGAGGACTTCCAAGAGGGCCCCAAGGGACACAAATCATTGATTTGCCTTAGGTGTTTCAAAGATTTCAGCGTTCTCGCCTTGTCAGCTTCCCGACGCTCCACGACAGGCCAAGAGGCCTCCAAGACCATCACAAGATGGCCCAAGAGGCCTCCAAGAGGACCCCAAAACAACCCAAGAGGAATCGCCCAGGAAGCCTCCAAGACAGCCGAAGAGGCCCCCAAGACGGCTCCAAGAAGCAGACCAGACTGGGGACCCGAACGTTCACTTCGAGCCCTCGGCCTGAGAAGCTCCCAGGAGGCCCCGAGAGGCCCCTAAGAAGCCCCCCAAGAGGCCCCAAGAGGCCCCCAGGAGGCCCCCGGGAAGCCCCAAGACACCCACGAGGCTTGGGCGTCTTGTGGAAGGTCTCTTGTGGACTGGCCTCCTCTTTAACTTTTCCCTCTACCGTAGGATGTCGGATGAGGCAGCGGGCGCACCTATAGTCGGGGCGTTGACCAAAGTAACCCTAAATAAGAACGAGACCCCTTTTTCCCATAAGTTCAACCTCGATTTCGCATGGAAAACCTCGGGACAACCCGAGGCGAACTTTGAAACAATCAAGGAACACCGAGCCCCTCCCCAATGAAAAGCGTTCCTTCTTCAGCGCCCCGACTGTAGCTTCTCTCCCCCTCCTCTCCGTGCCCCCTCGCCCGCCTCCGTCTCCCCCCCCGTCGTCCCCCTCCACTGCGTCGCGCGCCCTCGTGCTGCGGGCCGCCTGCAGAACGCGGCCCGCTGCCACGCGGCGGCCAAGAGACCGCCCGCCCCCTCCTTTGGGCCTCTCGGCTCCCGGGGGCTGGGCAAAAACAGGGCGTGCAGCCGACCCCCTCTCTCCTCGCCGTGCGGTGGCCCCGGGTCGAGTCCCAGACAGGCTCGCGTCGTGGCAGAAAGTCAGGACGGCAAATTGTTATGTATTTTCGGCCCCCGGGGGCCCTCGCCTGGCCCCGGGAGCGTCAGAGAACGCGCAGGACGAAACACCTGCCCCGGGGAAAGGGTCGGGACTTCCAGGGACGCCGTCCTGGAAAGATCAGGACGTCGCATGTCTGGGGTCGGGCATGTCCTCTACAGGAGGAGTGTTCAAAAATCGTAAAAAAGATAGTCTGGGGACGATGGGTCGACTATCTGTGGTTGTTTGTTGACTAGTTTGTACTGCGAAGGCCTTACGGCTGGTGCCGCCGACCCTGAATGGCGACGACGACGACGACGACGACGACGATCGGGGGCCTCTCGGGGGTAGTTTGGGGGCCTCTTGGGAGGCTCTTGGGAACCGCTTCGGAGCCTGGGGCCCCAAGGCACCCATTGGATTTTGGCGTGGGGACGCCACGCCTTCCACAGCAAAGCCATCGAAATCCAAGAAACCCAGGGCACCCTGCAGGCGAACAGGGTGCTTCTTGGCATAGAAAAAGACAAGCAAGAGTGCGTCCAAATCGCCCGAACGCAAACGCTAAGAGAAAAGAAATGAGGCGGGGAGGGGCCGACAACCGAGCCGCTATCACGGCGGCTTGCCCTCCCGCATCCTCTTGATACGGTGCTTCTGCACAGCGAGGATCGGGGGGTGGTCCGAGGGGGTCCTTGCAGGGCCGCTTGAGGGCCAATTGGACGCCGACTTCGAAGCTTTTCGAGCGGGGCGCAGCCAACGAAACTGGTCAAGGATGGACCGAGGAGGTTAGGATGCAAGGGCACCCTTGGGAAGGTTGCCCATCCTGACTGTGCGGGTTGCCTGTACCCGATCGACCGAAGCCACACAGAATCCATTCCCCAAATGTTCATCCTGGGCCCGCTGGGTTTCGAGCGGCTCCAGGGTTCGAACGCAAACCTCATGAGGCCCAAGGGCGCCCAACGCTCCTCCGACGGCGAAGCTGACCACGGACCGCCGATGGGCGCGCGCGCGCGCGCGCGCCCCTCGCGCCACGCCCGTCTGGCGGGCGCCCCCTCGGGGGGTCTATGCCCCGGGCCCCACGCATCCTGCGTGATCTCTTGGCGGTCGCCGAACTTGCGGGGCGCGGAAGGCGGCGCGGCGGGGGGAGGACGGGGCAGAAGGTGTCATCGAGCTCTCGCTCCTCGCCCTCCTCCCCCAACGCCACCACAGCCACCACCATCTCCTCCTCCTGCTTCTTCTCCTCCTCCTCCTCCTCCTCTTCCTACTCCTTCTCCTTCTCCTCCTGCTCATCCTATTCCTCCTCCTACTCCTGCTCTCTTCTTCCAATCCTTGTCCTTGTAGATGATTATTCCCAGTCGCACCCTGAGGCTAGTCGGATGGGCCGGTCGGGCGTTTCGACTGGGACTCCCTTCGGGCCTTACAAACTGGCAGCAGTATCGCAGATGGAGGGCGGGTCGCTTTCGCCCTGGCGCCGCGCACATTTGTTTTAATCAGTTGCAAAGGCTTCACGGACTGAGGGCGGTTCGTTTTTTAAATTTGGCTCTCGCCTAGCGTCGCGCACGTTTTCAAGAAGTGGAGGGGCTTCACGGATTGAGGGCGGTTTCTGTTCAAAATGTGGTTCTCGCCTTGGCGCCGTGCGCGTTCGTGCTAAAACATAGGACGAGTTTCGCGGGTTGGGGGCAGCTCGATTTCAATATGTGGCTCTCGCCTTAACGCCGCGCGCAATCATTTTCACAAATTGCAGGAGCTTCACGGGTTGAGGGCGATTCCTCTTCAACACGTGGCTCTCTAAACAATTGAAAACATACCACTGGTTCTTCTGGCTAGCGTACCACAAACCGTGTTAGGGCGCAACAGTTACGTTGATCCACACGGTCCCAGGAATGGCATTCTGGCGCGATTCATGGTCGTCAGCACGCAAATCATCAGGTTGACTCGGGGCGTTCACGTCCTGAGAGCGGTGCTTGGGTGCGCTTCAGGATTTTCGTACGGTTGTCCTCCAACGGGGCACTTCCATCAGTGGCAATCACACTTTGCAGAGCCTGTGAAGAGGGAGCTTGGAGCGATGGGTGTATTCCAACATCGCTGACGAGTCTTGAGATGACACTGGTCCTTATCCTCCTCCTCCTCCTTCTCCTCCTCCTAATCCTCCTCCTCGTCTTACCACTTCATTTCGAAATCTGCCACTGTGGCTCTGGCACGGAGTGGAAAGAGTCCCCCATGGCTCACGGCTATGTTGCTGCAGCCACGATTGTGATTACTCAACGGCCCGGACACCCGTCGGGGATCTGCTGACCCGGGTCAATCCAGACCCGGGTCAGCCGGGCCTCGCAGAATCCTGCAACATCCTGCAAGATCCTGCGCCCAAACCCAGGTCAACGCCGAGGATCCTGCAAGATCCTGCAGGATCCTGCACCCAAGCCCGGGTCAGTGCGACCCTGGCCCTGCAGGATCCTGCAAGATCCGGCGCTCTGGCCGACCCCCGTTTGCAAGTTCTGGGCCTTTAAAAGGCCTCGGGAGACCCGAGAAAAGTTTTCTGGGGTCTGCTGGGGTGTTTCCCAGGAGCTTGGGACTGTGTCCTGTCGGTCCTCTCCCGACGCTGCTGTGCCCGCCGAGGCTGACGCCCCGAGCGCCTGCTCTCCAGGGGGGCCCGCTTCGCCGAAGGATTGCCCCCAAACGCCCGATGTGGCCTCCAGACAGCCCACGGGGCATCGAAGGGTGACCGCTTTTTACTCGGCGTTTCGACAGTGGGCGGAAAGGGGGGGGGACGGGGGGGGGGCGTGTCTGGCTCCGGACCTCTGCTTAGTGACACTGCTTGCAGCAGTGCGTCAATTATGGGGGAGGCTCCACCTGCTCGAAACAGGCGCCACAAACAGCCAAGATCTACTTCAAGGGGGGGGGTGCGAGGGCCCGCGCCGATCGGCAAAACACCAAATGAAAAAACATCACAAACGACCCAGGAGGCCTCCAAGAGCACTCCCGAGAAGGCCCCTGAAGGCCAGCACCGTGCCTTTTCTCCAATACAAAATGGCCCGAAACGTACCCAGCCCCTTCTCCACGCGAAGCGAATGTTTGTATGAACGCTCCAAAGAAAACAGCACATCGCCAGATATGCCTGATCAGAGCAGCCCTCATCTCCGCCGTGTCTCTCATGAGCCCACTGAAATAGCGACGATTGCGCAGCTCGTAGCTTCTCAGGGAGCAGCGAGGTCTCAAATGGTCCGTTTAATCCCCGACTCCACCGTGCCTCCCAGGAGACTAAGAAAGTGGTGACAGTTGCACAGTTCCCAACCTACCAAGGAGTTGCGAAATCTTAAACGGTCAGTTTATTCCCCGACTCCGCCGTGCCTCCCAGGAGCCCGCTGAAGTGGCGACAGCTGCACAAGTCGTAGCCGTCCAAAGAACTACGAGGTATCAAATGATCCGTTAACTCAACGACTCCGCCGTGCCTCCCAGGAGCTCACAGAAATTACCCCTCATTCCCATTCTAAAAAGAAAAATGGCTATCGGAGGGGGGATCAACAACAATTATATTTCAGAAATGAGGATTCAGCAACAATGACATACACCATAACCTAAACTGTTGGAGGTCCGCACGGATGATCCGCGCTGACCCCCCTCCCAGGAGCGCGGAGCGCGCCAAGGGTGGTGCCGGAGGCACCGCCAGGGGGGTCCAGCGCCGATCCAAAAAATCCGCACAGAGCTCCGACAGTGTAGTCATGTTTTACAAATTCGAAATGAGATGATGCCCGAGCGTCTGTTGGCCCCGCAGGGGTATGATTCGCAACTGGTGGCAGACCTTACCTGGGCAAACCAAAAAAGTACCGATACCGATGCTTCCCGGACCTCTCCCGGGGTGCGTTCTGACTAAATTTCGAGGCGAATCCAGCTGTGGCGACGAGAGCCTCCCAGGAGGCCCTCAAAAGGAGGAAGCGAGGAAAGGGTAGCAGTATGGGTACCTGTTCCTCCTCTGACTACTTTCATGCGATTCATGGCGATTCCCCTTCTCTGGGGCGGCCAAGAAAGGGGTGTCAAAGAGGGGGGGTGCAAATCATGGCCGGCGGCATGTGCGCGGCCCAGGGTGGCCAGGAACGTAATGAAAAAAGAAGAGGCGCCCCCTCCCGCCCCAAGGGGCCCCCAAGAGCCCCGTAAGAGGCCCCAGGGGAGCCCAAGACGCCGCCAAGGAGCCCCAAGACGCTCCAAAGAAGCTCCCAAGAGGCCCCCAAGACGGCCCCAAATAGCGCTCCTGGGCCGGCGGAATGAGCGAAGCGATTAGATAAGAATAGGCGCCATGAGATCTGGGGAGATATCGTGGCCCCGCCATGATATCCACCCCCCTCTGGTCATCACCCCCCCCTTGGCCGCCCCCGACCTTCCCCGCGCCGAGGCGGGGGGCTGGCCTTTCCCCCGGGCATGCCCGGATACACCGACACCTGGCGGCGCCGCGGGGGCGCGAACGTGACGGGCCCCGCCCAAGGGCATCTCCTCCTCGCGGACCCACATTAGACATTGACGATGCCGACGACGACGACGACGACGACGACGGCGACGACGACGGCGACGGCGACGGCGACGGCGACGACGACGACGGCGACGACGGCGACGACGGCGACGACGACGACGGCGCCGTCACCGCCCCTGCACATCAGTCCCACACCTCCGACGCCTCGAACGACTCGAAATGGGATGCCGGCACCGGGAGGGGGGTCGAGAGGTCCGGCTATACCCCACGAGTGAAACAGACTTGCACGTGCGGGGCAACTTTCCAAATCCAGAGAGCCGACGCTCAAAGAGTACCGCATCGTGAGACACATCGCGAAACAGGACCCCCGCTCGTTCTTTGCTTTTCCTTGAAAGGTGCGAGCCCCCCGCGGCTCTGGGCCCTCATTCCGCATGGCTCGGCCCCCTCCCGCGGGAGGGGGCCGAGATGCCACCTCCTCCTCCTCCTCCTCCTCCTCCTCCTCCTCCTCTTCCTCCTCCTCCTCCTCCTCCTCCTCCTCCTCCTCCTCCTCCTCCTCCTCCTCCCTCCTCCTCCCTCCTCCTGGGGACCGCGCAGTGAGAAGCTCGGGTCAGTCACCAGTCCTCGCTGTGGGGCCGGACCCTGGGGGGGCCCAGGGCACGGAGACATCACATCGTGGCGTCGGGTGTCTCTGGCGGCAGGGCAGCCACGGCGGAGAGTGCAGCGAGGAAGGGGTGGCGATGCAGGGAGAGAACAACGAGACAGAGAGACAGAGAGAGATGAAAAAAACAATAGAGAGAAACAGATAATAACGCACACGCACAAACGGATACGTGTGTGTGAGTATGTATGTATGTATGTATGTATATATATATAGATGTACACATTTGCATACTAGAACCATCGCGCGAGCTTCGCGCGCGCGCTCGAGTTCTAGCTAGGCTTGATGGGCTAACTCATGGAATCTAAGTTTGGTCGTTTCTTGCATCCAGGGACTCTCTTGGAGGCCCTGCGCAAGCCTCGGAATCGTATAGAAGAGGAACTGCGGAACTGCAGAAATCATGAATTACCCTTCAGTATTCAACGATTTGATGCCCTCAAAGACTTCCTGGGCTCTTTTCTGTGAGTTGAGGGGGCCTTCATTGTGGTCTGTTGTGCAAGAGTAGACAGTAGACAGGAGGGGCGAACTCGAAAAAAAATAATTGTGGGATTCCCATTTTTTCAAGTTGCCGTGCCTGGGCTGTGGGTTAGAAGTTTTCTGGATGCAGGCCACGGTCTGATTGGATACCTCGCGTGGGCTTCGTGCAAAAATAGGCATGGGTGAGCTTGAAAAAAGGATCTGGAACTCCTTGTTTCAACTCATGGGATCATGGGATCTCGAATTCTACGGTGGTTTCAGGGGCAGCCAAGAGGACACGAAGACGATCCAAGAGAGTGCCAAGACAACGTTAGAGAGTTCAACAGCATTCCCGACATATCGTTGCATGTGACCCCGAAGTCTTGATGGGGTTTCTGCAGGAGTCCCAACTTGAAAAAAAATAGTCTCTGGAATTCCGTGTTTTTTTCAAGATCCTCGGTCTTTGAGGTCTCTTCTAGGCTTTCTGGGAGCTTGGAGAGCTGACCGAAGGCTATGTTGGGTTGCTTGGGAGCGTTTTGGGCCTTTCCTTTACGTTCTGGGAACTTCTTGGGGTCGCCTTGGGCTGTCCTTGGGCGTGTTGGGGATCCCCCGGGGCCGGAACGCGCGGTACCGGGAGCGTTCCGCAGATGTTCTGGGAAGGTGTGGGACCTCTGGGAGGAGGGGCGTATTGAACTTGGAAAAAACGAATCTCTTTTTTTGTTGCAAATTCTTGGTCTCTGAGCGTTGGCAGCGGGAAAACGTGAGAAGGCAACAAAAACATAGAAAAAACATGAAATCAACGATTTTACCCATTTCGGGCTCTCTCGGGACGGCTCTCGAAGATCTCTTGGGCTGTTTTCGGGGCTTTGTCGGGGCTTTTTTGGAGGGGCTCTCAGGGGTCTGGTGTGTTGGAAGCCTCTGGGGGGTCCCGAAATCCTCTCGGAGGTCTCTGGAGGCCTCCTACTCCCGCTCTTGGGATCATCTTGGGCCTGTTCTGGGGTGGTCTGGAGCTGTCTTGGGCGCCTCTTCGGCAATCTTGGGGCCATCTTGTCCCGTCTTCGAGCCGTCTTGGGAGCCTCTTGGGCGGTCTTGGGGCGGTCTTGGGGGCCTCTGGGGCCTACTTGGAGCGTTGGAAACATGGAATGGTGAGAACGCCGAAAACCCTGAAACAAAAACAATGACAATTCACGATTTTAGGTTCTCCGGGCGCTCTTGGGAGGCCTCTCGGAGCTCCCTTGAGCTCTCTTGGAAGCCTCCTGGGAGCCTGGAGAGCCGCACGAAAGCTATCCTGGGTTGCTTGAGAGCGTTTTGAACCGATCTTTTACGTTCTGGGGGCGTCTTCGGGTCGTCTTGACCTGTCCTTGGGCGTTTTGGGCCTCCCCAGGATATTGGGAAGCGCAGAACTGGGAGCGAAATCCAGATGCCATCGAGGTGGAGGACGCCCCGGGAGGGGGCCTGGCCTATTTGCTTGTATATCGTGTATATATGTACCTATACATATAATTTACATATTATACATATCGAGAGAGAGAGAGCCAACAAAAAGGTGATAGGAAGACAGAGAAAAAGAGAGAGAGAGAGAGGAAGGCGCAAAGACACAAGAGCAGGGAACGGCTGCAAAGGGGAAGCACCCGCCTCTTGCAGCACACGCCCACGAGCGCCACCGCATCCACAGCTCGCCCCGAGCGACGAGTGCGCCGGCTCTGGCTCCCGGCCCCCGCTCCGCCGCGCGAGCCTCGCCGCCGTGAGCGGCCTCCTCTCCTGGGAGGGCTCCGGCCAGGCGCTCCGGCCCCCTCGCCTGAAGGGCCGGACGTCTCGCCCCGGGGCTGCCCCCCCGCTCTGGGGGGGCCCTGGGGCGCGAGCCAAGCCCCCAGAGGAGGGCGTGCCGCCCCGAGCCGCGTGCGGGCGCCGCCGCCGAGCGGAGGAGGCGCGAACCGGCCGTGCCCGTCGGTCGGGCAAGAAGCGGGCAAAAGGCATGGGGTAGGAAGGCGTTGGAAGTAGATTTAGACTCGGGGGGGACGAAAGGGGGGGATAGCAAAGGGTAGGGTAGAGAATCAGCTCACGTAATTGATTTTCCCAGCGTTTCCCGGCGCCGGGAGGCGCCCGTGTATCGAGGAATGGGCCTGGCGGCAGGGCGGGCACCAGCTTCATGCAGCAGATTCCGTAACCCCCCCTTTCCCTATCCCCCGCTTTCGTTCGGCCCGATAGATCGGGGGAGTGCCTAGATAACGTGTCTGGACCACCAAAATGTCCAAAACAAGTCCAAGGGGGGTCTGACTTGGAGATCCGAGGGGGCCCCAGCACTGTGGCCGGAGATTCGGGGAAAGACTGCCGCAGGATTTTTGGCCAGCATCGGTTCGGACATGTTATCAAGACTCCCCCGATCTAAGAGTTGATCGGGTTGCCACACGCCCCCGGAAGAGGAGGGAGACGAGGGACAGCCGCTCGACTCTTGAGGCAGAAAGGCGGCTAACGTAGCATGGGACTAGGGCATCGCACCATACATAAATCTCCACGACAGACGGGTAATAAACCTCCATATTATCATCTTGTTTCCTCCTCCTGCCCTCTCCTGCTCCTCCTGCTCCTCCTGCTCCTCCTGCTCCTCCTGCTCCTCCTGCTCCTCCTGCTCCTCCTCCTCCTCCTCCTCCTCCTCCTCCTCCTCTCTCCTCCTCCTCTCTCCTCCTCCTCCTCCTCCTACTCCCCCTCCTCCCCCCCCCCCCCCCCCCCCACCCCCCCCCCCCCTCCTCCTCCCCCTCCTCCCCCCCTTCTCCTCCCTGCTTCTCCTCTTCCTCTCCTCCTTCGCCTCTCCCTCCTCCTCCTCCACTCTCTCTCCTCTCCTTCTCTCCCTTCTGCCTCTCCTCTCTCTTCCTCCTGCTCCTCCTGCTCTCCCCTCCTCCTCATCCTCCTCTCCTCTCATCATACTCATCATCATCCATCCTCATCCTCATCCTCATCATCTTCATCATCATCATCATCATCATCAGCATCAGGCATCAGCATCATCATCATCATCATCATCATCATCATCATCATCATCATCATCATCATAATCATCATCCTCATCATCATCATCATCATCGTCATCGTCATCGTCATCGTATATCATCTCACCATCATCATCTCATCATCAGCAGCATCATCATACTCAGCTTCAGCATCAGCATCGCATCAGCATCACCATCACCATCATCATCATCATCACCATCACATCACATCCATCACCATCACCATCACCATCACAATCAGCATCAGCATCAGCATCAGCATCATCATTTCATCATCATCATCATCATCATCATCATCATATCATCATCATTATCATCATCATCCATCATCATAATCATCAGCATCAGCATCAGCATCATCATCATCATCATCATCATCATCATCATCATCATCATCATCGTCATCGTCATCGTCATGGTCATCATCATCATCATTCTCCTCCTCCTCCTCCTCCACCTCCTCCCCCTCCTCCTCCACATCCTCATCCCTGGGCCCTAGCCTTGCCATCGTCCATCGAGGCCACCACCACGTCCGGCAACGAGTCGTTGACGACGTTGGCAACCTTCACCTCCGCGGGCGAACGGCGCACATGAGGGCGAGGTCCTCCTCCTCCCCCCTCCTCCTCAACCCTCCTCCTCCTCCTCCTCCTCCTCCACCTCCTCCTCCTCCTCCGTCTCCCTCCCTCCCTCCCTCCCCCTTCCCTCCCTCCCCCTTCCCTCCCCCTTCCCTCCATCCCTCCCTCCCTCCTCCCTCCTCTTCCTCCTCCTCCTCCTCCTCCTCAGCCTATGCAAGACGCGGACTCAACTCTCAACGTCACGAAACAAATCGTGACGGCTGTGGTGTCCGCCATGTCGACCTCGTGGGGAATGTTCCGGGCCCCAGACCCCAAACAATCCGAAGCGAACCCGTTCTCAGGGGGGCGAAAGTTCCGTGCAAACAAATCGTAAACTCGGATACCTCGGGCGCAAGTTTTAAAGACGGCGCCTGGCCTTCGATACATGACAGGGAGCAGGCTACTGCGGTGCTGAGAAGGACGTTTGCTGGAGCTCGCAAGTATAAAAGGATGTTCGCAGGCTAGTGTGCCACTTCAGCATGCGAAGACCCAGTCTGCACACGCGTGGTGCTCGCAAACTGCTGACACTCCCTCGCTGCCGTGGTGCGGGGGTTCTGCTCGAAGGCCATTCTGGTGCTGGCGGGATTCGCGAATACCCGCGCGGAGGACGGGAAGGCATGCCAGAGACGACGGGCATCCCGCTCCGAGCGCCCCCTTCGGCCTCCACCCGTCCCCCCCCCCCACCGAGGCCGCACACGTGAGGCCAGAGCATGGGGTCGGCGGTGGACAAACTCCGGGCGAAAGGGGGGGATAGCAAAGGAGGGATTTGAGAATCAGCTCACGTAGCTGATTTTCCCGGCGCCTCCCGGCGCCGGAGGCGGCTATGTATCGAGGAATGGGCCCCTCGGTGGGGCCGAAACCAGCTGCATGCAGCAGATTTCGTACCCCCCCCTTTCCCAATCCCCCCCTTCCGTCCGGCCCGACAAACCTTTAGTAGACCTCCCCTTAGTGAAAGCAGCCTGGGACCGAAACCGACGGACCTGGACCCGCAAAAAAGAACGGCCGCGACGCCCTCTCGCGAACCGAAAACGGCCAATTCCTTCATCGACGCGTCAGGGTGGGAGGTCTGTCCACCCCCAATGGGGCCGGAGGGACGCGCCGCATCGCTGAGTGCACCGACGACGCGCCGGCGAAGCCAAGACAGCGAGAGCCAGGCGCAAGACCGCACCGAACCGCCGATGTTGATCGGCGGCGCGGTCCGCCCCGTCTGCTCCGGCCCAGCCCTGGGCGGCCGGCAACCATAATTCCTGTTATAGATCTTCCTGAACTCACACTTCTTGCTCAGCGCGCGCGCTACGTTTGTGATGCTTACAGGTGCGGGCCCATAACTGGCGTCAGTGGCGTAACTGCAGCTACGCCAGTTACATAACTAGAACGTAAGTGGCCTAAGTAGATACGCTAGTTATAACTAGGGGTCTACGTATAAGTAGCTTGTCACTGGCATAACTAACTCATGATACTTACGAGCTACTTACGCTACTTCTAACTTCTAAGCAACTTCTGAAACTTACGAGCTACTTCTGAGCTACATATGAGCTACTTACGTTATTCATAACTGGGCGAACTGGGCTATCTACTTATAATCAGCCCCGCCGCCTGCAGATGGGGGAGCCACGACTCCGTGTGGAGGACGGCCGGATGCAGCCCCCCCGGGAGCTCCAGCCGGGCGTGCTCGAGCTGGACGTCGCGACGCCCCGGAGCCACGTGGAGGCCCACCAAATGAGTCCCCCCCCGTGGTTCCAACCATCCACTCGGAGGGCCGGCAGATGGGTCCCCCATGGCTCCCATCGGCCCTGCTCCAGCTGAACCCCGGACCGCCCGGGCATGCCCGTTCCAGCGTGTCAGATGCTCGTTCTGCGGGCCTTCCCGACGCCACCCTCGCTCCACTTCTGCCTCGGTGCTGCGTCGAACGTCCGTCGACTTGAGTCGAACTTGAGTCGAACTTGAGTCGAACTAGAATCGAACTAGAATCGAACTTGAGTCGAACTTGAGTAGAGCTAGAGTCGAACTAGAGTCGAATCAGAGCCGGAAAGGGGTCGAACATATTCGTGAGAGGGCCCCAGGGCGGTCTCCCAAACGAGCATCAAAGAAAGGAAGCCTGGCCCTGTGGCCAAGTTCGGCGGCGAGCGAGGGTGGGAAGTGAGAAGGAGAGGGCTTTCTCAGAAGGTGGCGGGACTTCTCCGAAACCCCTGCGTCTTCTGAGGGGTTCTCTCTGTCTTCTGGGCAGGCTTGGAACACTTCGCACAATGCCGGGATCCTTCCGAGTTCTCTGTGAAGGCCGGCCGGCTCCTTCCCAGACCTGCGACGTCCTGACTTTTGCAGGACGGCGTCCCTGGAAACCACGACCCTTTCCCCGGGACCAGTTTTTCATCCTGAGTCGTTGTTCGACGGTCCCGAGGCCCGGCGAGGGCCCCCCGGGGCCGAAAATAGGCAAAAGCCTCCCGTCCTGCTTTTCTTACGACGCGACCACGCCTGGGTTCTCAGTCCCCCCCCCTCGCTCGCCGCCGGCACGCAGCGCGCGGGGGGCTGACCGAGCAGGGCCCGTACGTCTCGTTGTACGCCTGGCGCAGGGCGGCCGCGGGCGCCGGCGGCCGCCAAAGGCCGCCGCACGCCGAGGAGGCGGGCCCGTCCGGCGCGGGGGCTCGCGGGGGCGGGGCCGGGCACGGTGGAGGCCCGTCTTCTGTCGCTCCCGTCGTCGTTAAAGATGAGGGGCAACGACAGGGGGGTCCTCCTCCTCCTCCTCCTCCTCCTCCTCCGCCTCCTCCTCCTCCGCCTCCTCCTCTTCCTTCTCCGCCTCCTCCTCCTCCTCCTCCCGCCTCCTCCCCCTCCCTCCTCCCCCTCCTCCGCCTCTCCTCCTCCTCTCTCCTCCTCTCCGCCTCCGCCTCCTCCGCCTCCTCCTCCTCCGCCTCCTCCTCCGCCTCCTCCTCCGCCTCCTCCTCCTCCTGACTGGCACAGGGGGGGATGCATCGACCTGGAATCGTCGATACATCGCCGATAGATCGGCGATAGGCCTCCGATCGTGAATACGTACCTTCATGGGCAGGCTGGGGCTATCGAGCCCCTATCGGCGATCCATGAGCGATTGGGGGTCGATGCATCCCCCCCCTATGCCTATCCCCCCGATCGTTGCCCCTGAAAAGACCACCCAGCAACAATTTCGAGCGCCCAGAAGAGTGTCGAAACGATGTCGAAGCAGTGTCGGAGGAGTGCCTCCCAGGGCCCGACACGTGAAACCAATGATTTTCGGCACTTTTTTTTCCGCAGGCTCGACATCCTTTCTCGTAAGGAAGGCTAAAGCAAATTGGAACATCATAAACCTGCTACAAGAAACTTAACCCTGAGACTCAAGGACGTTCATTGGTTTTTGGTGTGGGAGCGTCGCGCTCTCCGTCGCAAAAACTATCGGAACCCGATACACCCAGGGCACCCTGGAGGCAAGCGGGGCGTTGTTTGGAACGGGTCTCCACTCTAAACGCTCCCGGAAGCCGAAAACGGTGAAACACCTTCCGCCCGGATGTTTGTTTCACCACGCGGGCATGTCTGGTTTGGGTTTCCTTCGCGGGGCCGGGAGAGGGCTCCCAGGAGCCGCAAGCGGCGAAGAGCACCTCCCGTCCTGATTTCTGCTCCACGACGCGAGCCCGTTTGGGTTGGGTTTCTTTTCACGGGCGCGACCACGTCTGGGTCGGGGGCTCCCGCACATCAGCCCGCCGCTTGAGCAGGGACCGACCGTCCTGGCATTTCTATAGGCATACCACGACATGTTCTCAGAACCCCAACATGTTCCAAGCGCAAAGACCATGTTCGTAGGACATACGCCTTCTGCGTGAACACGAGACAGTCCCCGCCAGAAAAGTTCCGAGAACAGTCCGTGGAAACCACAAAAGACTCTTAGAACATTCTTTTCGGGAGCGGCCAAGAGGGGGTGTCCAAGAGGAGGGTGTGCAAATCATGACCGGCGGCATGTGCGCTGCCCAGTTGGGGGGCCAGGGACGTCATGAAATAAGAAGGGGCGCCATGAAATCTAGCGAAATATCATGGCCCCCGCCATGATATCCACCCCCCCCCTAGTCATCACCCCCCTCGTTGCCGCCCCCGGTATTTGGTAGGCCTACAGTCGAGCCGTGACGCTTCGCCACTGCCTGAGCCGCTGGCGCCCATGTCCCGAGCGGGCGGGGCCCCCGGCTCGCGGGCGCGCGCCCCGCGAGGGGCGCCAAGCGGCTCGGCACGCAGACGCGCGCAATTCACGCGCGGCTGCACGGCGGCGACGCGGCCCAGGGTCGAGTCGGGCACGTCCCTCCACGGGAGGGATGTCCAAAGCTAGTCAAGAATAGACGGGGACGATGTTTCTGTTATTATCGTTGATATGTGTTCAGCGAGTGTTCGACGATTTGTCGACTATGTTTGAATATTGATGGACATGTTTTGTTTATTACATTTTGCCTCGAAATGGCACGCACAGGGACATGCTGATACTATCTGTCCTCCTTGGAGGCGCGCACCCCACCCGAACATATAGTGTATCCATATTGTAGCAAACCGTTTGACGAGCGATGTGGCCAGAAAGCGCCCGCCACGACGCATATACTAGAAGATTTCTCGGTACGCGCGTCGCCCCTGGGGGGGGCGACGCACATATAGTAGAAGTATGTTGGGGTGACTCCGACATCAAGAAACACCCAGAGTAGAGATCTGCTGCCGAAGCCGCCGTCGCCTCGGCAGGCCCCCCCCCCCTCCGAGAGGAGCGCCAGGGAGGCCCCCTCTCTCGCCCCGCCGCCGGGCCTCCGCCGCCAGCGCCGCGACCGCGGGGGCGCGCCGCGCGGCGCGGGGCGAGGGCGCGCGCCTCGCTTTGGAAGGGGCGACGCCCCACTAGTATACAGTCAGAAACCCTTCAGGAGGACGCGCGGCAGGGACGCAAGACCCTTGGAGGCCGAAGTTGGGATTTTGGGGGTGGCGGACGACGAAGACCCCAAGGACGCAAGAGCAAGGAAGAGCAAGGACGCAAGGGTACCCTGATCAAAGTCGCGCGTCCTTATTAGGGTGTTTGACTGTAAATATGCTGGGGTGACGCCGCCCGAAAATCCGCCTGTAGGAGGCCATGCCCGACCGAGGCCCAGGACTCCTGGGCCGGCACGCCGCCCAGCGCGGCCTCCCGAGCTTCCGAGACCGGGGGTGGGGGGCACCACTCGGCGAGGCCCTGGCGGGAACCCAGCAGGACGGGCCCAGTGTCCACCACCACTACCATATGTAGGGGGGGAGGGGGAGGAGGAGGAAGAGGAGAAGGAGGAGGAGGAGGAGGAGGAGGAAGAGGAGGAGGGGGAGGGGGAGTGGGAGGAGGGGGAGGAGGGGGAGTGGGAGGAGGGGGAGGAGGGGGAGGAGGAGGAGGAGGAGGAGGAGGAGGAGGAGGAGGAGGAGGAGGAGGAGGACGAGGAGGACGAGGAGGTCCGCCCGTTCGCGTACTTGAGAGCCTTCCCGCCCGCCCGACCCACCGGTCAGAGTCCGCTTGCCCGACCCGCCCAATAGGATGCGCCCGCCCGACCTGCCCGTCAGGGTCCGCCCGTTCGCGTACTTGAGAACCCTTCTGCATGCCCGACCCACCCGTCATGGCCCGACCCTCCCGATTGGATCCGCCCGCCAGACTTGCCCGTCAGGGTCCGCCCGTTCGCGCACTTGAGAGCCCTTCCGCCCGCCCGACCCGCCCGTCAGGGTCCGCCCGCCCGACTCGACCGTTAAGGCTGACCTGCCCGACCGAGCCGCCAAGGCCAACTTGCCAACATGAAAGCTCCCCTCCCTTCCCCCTGCTTCTCGATCTTCTTCGCCTTCATCCTCCTCCCTCCCTCTTGCCCCCCTCCTTCCTAGTGTCCTCCTCCTTTCTTCGCTCTCAGCCTGTTACTTTCACCTCCTCCATCTATGTCACAAGCCAAGCCGGATGCACGTGACAGGCAGGGAACTTATACTTCCAAACGGGGGGCGATCGGAATCGAAGAGAGCGGGTATCGAGGGTTTGGGGTATGCATGTTGAGTGACACGCGAGCAGCGACAAGCGAACGGTCTTAAAATGATTGTTTCATCTGCTGCATTGCTTGATCGTGTCGTCGTCTGCGCGGGTGGGTCACGGCGGGGGTGGGGTGGGTCGCGGTGCGGCTGGGGGGTCCAGGGTGGGTCGCGGTGCGGATAAGTCGCGGCCCACCCGAGGCGCCCTACCACTCCTATCCGCAACTGGGGGGGGACTAAACGACATGCAAGCGGGACGACCAGGACAGCCGCGTGAAATAACTGTAGCCCTGGCGGTTGCGGACAAGAGTAAGAGGGCAAGATGGACATCGGCAGTGTGCGGCGAGGCTCGAGAACAAATGCGAATAGAAGAGCGCCGCGAGCGCCGAGTTCTTCACACATTACACACCTGGCCCGCCGCAAGTGCCGATGTTCTGCCAACTGGGGGGATGGTTCGTGGGTTGGTCTCAAGGCGGGTCGCGGATAAAGTCGCGGGTGCGTCGCGGCGTGGGTTGCGGGCTGGGTCGCTTGGTGGGTCGCGGGGTGGGTCGCGGGGTGGGTTGCGGAGTCGAGTGGGTCGTGGGCGTCGCGGAGTGAGTGGTGGGGTGGGCCGCGGGTGGGTCGCGACTGGTCCGCGGATGGGACACGGGCGGGCGGCACGGCCACAACAACAAACAACGAACAACAAACAACAGTAATCATCCGCACCGCGAAGCCACACTTCGGCCACACACCCAGGGAAAGTAATTGACCATTCGGGACCATTCGGTCCCCTCAGTTTGATGTAAAAACGGCCGACTCAATGTTCGGCGACGTCTGACGGTCTGGGAACGACGAAACCAAGAGCGGCAACACGCTGTGCCAGACCTCCGATGCCATGACCTTCTCAGCCAGGCCCTAGGAGATCTCACCCCCTTCCAAAGACGGGCCCTCTGCGTCCTGATGCAATCGGACCCAGGCCAGAAAAACACCCTCCAAGAACACGAGACCCTCCGCCAGCCAAAGCGCACACGGAACAGCCACAGGCACCCCCGCCAGGAGGCAGAAGAGAGCATCCAACGGACACGCAGAACATGAGCGTGTACCCTCCCCGAACCGACCTCGATCTTCTACATCGGTCCGACTGTCATAGCCCTTGCCTCGGAGAGCAGCAGAACTTCACACAGACACACACACACACGCGCACTTGCGGAGGTTCCTTCGGACACCCCGCGTGGGCGCCGGACCCTCCCGGGCCGCGCCTCCAGTGTCGCCCCACTGCACGCTGCGCGCCAAAGGAGGGGGGTCCGGCGGGTCCTGCCCAGGAAGGCTTGGCGGGGACCGCTGAGAATCGGTGGGGCGCACACGAGCACACTGATGCGGCGTGCCCTCCTTGGAGGCGGGCGTTCGACCCGGACATGTAGTGGAACCATCTTGGAATGCATCGTTTCCCGAGCGGTATGGCCAGAACGCGCCAGCCATGGAGCGTATACCAGAAGACGTCTCGGCGCGCGCGTCGCCCCAGCGGGAGCGACGCACACATAATTTTAATATGTTGGGGTGACGCCGAATACGTGCTCACGCAACTTGAACGGCCCAGGAACCCAGAAATTGCCCCAGGAGGCAAACATTGCGGCAACGGTGTGTCTGTGTTCTTTACCCAGTGCGTTGGAGGTCTGAACTCTCATGTGCCATCTTCGGAAAACCTTCTCTTTTTCATCGCGTCGCAGTGCGCGTGGAATCCGCGTCGACTCCACGTCGAATCCGCGTCGAGTCCGCTTGGAATCTCCGTCGAACCCGCGTCGATGACAAGAAAGAGACAAGGTCCCCCATGTCTAAGACGCAACGTTGCGAAAACGGAATCAGTACAGCATTCTCGACCGACTGGGGAGAGGCTGTACATGGGGCAGTGGAAATGTACAGCTTTGGGCCTTGGCTTTGGGCCTTGCCAGGGCCCGACAGCATCCACACCCACTGCCTCCTGTTACAAGCCTGGAACATATCCCTATCCCTATGCTGGACACCTCCTCATCACAATGCCAATCTTAGGGATCCCCTCATTTTTTGAGGGCGCATCCCTACGATTGTCATCGCCTTTTGGCGTGTCAATCTTAGGGATAGGGACACGTTCGAGGCTGGTAATCCTGGGATCCTGGGACATCGGGAGAAGAAAGAAGCCGCAGAAGCGCAGACCGTCGGAGGGCCGCATCGACGCTGCACGACCCCCCCCGGCGCAGTGCGGAGCGAAACGGAGGCGCGGCCGGGGGAGGCGGGCACCGCTCCAAGAATTCCACGCGGACCTGCGATCACGATTGCGAACTCCCGAACCTCCGAGCATGGATGATGACGCAGTCGTATCTCCAAAATCTGCAAGACCTCTGACCCCCTAAAACCTCTGGCGCTAGAAACGAAACGCGGTCGAGCCCACCGATCCACCCGAGCCGCCGATGGCTACCGTCCAGCCCAGCGCGCCGTCACGTTCTTGGGCACCACGTCGAAGACGCCGCCGCCGATATTCCGAAACCTGTGCAGGACCAGTCATCATCCAATCGGCAATAGGAAGGGTCAGATCGACATGTGCGTCGGATCGGGCTGCATCGGCACGGAGTCGAAATCGAAAAGGATCGGCCGCGACAAGACGCACTATGGCGCCATGCCAGCGTCGGGCCGCATGGGATCGTCGGAACATCCGAGTCTGATCGGATCGGGCCGGCCAGCGCTGGCATCGAATCAGATCGATCGAATCTAAATGGGCCCTGCTGTGAGAGGGAGAATCTGTTCGGGGGGCTAAGACGGGTCATGAGGTCTACAAGGAGGGATCGCGTAAAAGAAGCGGCTCCTGAAGAGAACGATCAGCGACTCCGAAGGGTGTGGTTTTCAAAGGGTGTGGACTGCAACCAACACCTAGAGGGGGGGGGCAAGCGGGGAGCTCCACAGAGATCTCGACAGCGCCCCGGCGAGGGCTCAGCAAACCTTTGAGGCGCAACGTGCTAACCTCCAAAACCCCAACGGCCCAGATCGTAGTCGCAGGAACAATCATTGGAAGATTTCCCGTTCTCCCCGCTCCTGGGGTCCTCCCTGGACTTTTGCCTCGGGAGCGTTTTAAAAAGGCGTTTACAGAGGAGAGGTGAAGGCATCAAACCTGACTGAGGGGCTGCTAAGTCGCCTAAGACCTGTATATGCCCATGATAAAACCGGACAAAACCAGATTGCGCGGGAATCGGTTCGACTAGGACAACGTTAAACACGGATATCCCGCGCCGATGCTGAAGTTGACCTCCCAACAACTGCAACCTCAAGACGGCACGTCGCCGCCGACGACAGCGTCGTCATGAAAGCCAACGGCAGCAACAGCGCAGGCGGCGTCGACGTCGCCTGGATGCCCGCGACATTGTCACCGAGGGGGGACCCCAGGGAAGCCTGGACGATGCCAAAACGGCGGCACCCGCTCGAAGCATCAGTCGTCGTCGTCGCCGTCGTCGAGCGGGAGAAGAAGATCGATGCTCTGGGGCGCCCTTGGAGCCTGCAGAGGCCCCTCTGGGCCCCCCAGAAGACCTCCAGGAACAGAACGCCAACAAGACCCTGTACACTGCACTCGGCCAGGCCCATCCTGTGATGGGCCTGTTTTCCACCACCACCATAAACCGGAGGGGGAGGGGGTCCTCCTCCTCCTCCTCCTCCTCCTCCGCCGCCTCCTCTCCGTCCTCCTCCTCCTCGTCCTCTTCCGCCTTCCCCCCTCCAACTCATGGTGGTGGTGGTGTTGGAAAACAAGCCCATCATCCTGGGCCCACGCTCCACTGTACACGCCGCCCCCGGCCAACGTATACCATAATATATACCGAAATCCGGGGTCCGGGCTGGGCCTGGCTCGGGGCGGTGAACGTGTCTGAATATCGTTTGACCGATCCCCATCCCCAGCGGCGTGGCCCGGGCGCCACTGGCCGATTTACGCCCCTAGATGGGGATATAGGTCGTTCCCTTCGGGTTTCGAGGGGTGTATCCCCAACTGGGGGGGAAATTTGGTGGGGATCTCGAAGGGGATGGAGATGGGGATGGGAGTCGGATAAACGATACTGAGTGTAGCTCTCGCCGCCCAGTCCGAGGACCTCCCGAGACCTCTGGAATCCCAAGTCGCAACCCGACCAGGTGGGCTCGTTTCGGCGCGCGAACGCTCAGAAGGCCAAGACAGCAAAGTCTTGGGCCACGCCATCATATGTGGATGAATCCGGGTGCTGGAGAGGCGCGCCCAAAACACGACCAGAGGACTGGAGGCGGCTTTCGTGAGCGCGGCCATGCGCCGAGAGGGAACAAGTGGTCTCAGTGGCATCGCTGCTTCGTCCTGTAGAATAAGGCGACAAGGCGCACACGCTAGCGGAGGGTTTCAACAATGCGTCACATGATCTGCAGGCCCATCTGCAGCGCCTGCGTGATGCTACCACTTGAGCCCCTGCTACATATTCAAGGATTCCAAGTCCTTCACATGTTGCAACAGGCACCGCGGTTTGCTCTGGGGCGGGATCCATGAGCTCAGTTTTCGGGACGTGCCATCTGCCAGGGATGCTCATGAATGTTGCTCAATTCTTGCGGGCGCTCATACATCTTCGCGCCAGGCGCGTAAGGAACGGCGTTCTCACCTATTGCATGAATCACTCGTAGAGGAGGTTGATCATGAGGGCAGCAAATGCGCTTGCTCCAATTAGGTGCAACCCCACAAAGTCTCGTTGATTGACATCAGTCCAGTGAGGCAGTTGGCTGCAGCCACTTGGCTGTTGATCTTATCCGTTTCTAACTTGCTAGCCAGATCGTTTTCTCCCAATTTTGCCGCGGCAATTGGACCAGAGCATTGTAATTGCACACGCAAGGTCTAGCATCATATCAATATTTGTGGGATCGGATTTCAAGTTTTCTGCATGCGCATTGATCCAACGACCCGCGGCCCGTGCATCCTTTGCAGCCTCGATGGCGACGTTGTTCCGTCGAAGAACAAACGGTCGCATAACCAATTCACAGTGAACAAGCCATACAGCTCACCTTCAAGACCAAACTGTTAACCAACGGAGACCACAACATAAGCGAGCTGAACAAATTTCGGTGCAAACTCCGGGAAAACTCTGCATTCCCGCATCTTCGCCTCAAGATGTCGTGTCTCCGCCAGCGCATGTGCCGCCATGGATCATCACAATAGCAGGCCTGTCTTTGCGATTATCCGTACTCGCGGTGTGGATGGACTGGCATTTGATTGAATGGCGGCTCTTCCGTTCGGTCGGGCATGTGCCCCATACAGGCCGATCGTGGCCGAATAGTGAAACATAGTCTACGCATCTTCAAAAACTATCGAGCATGGTGGAAAGTCGTCCCCAGACTATGTTTTCACTATTTGTGAATATTCCTCCTTCGGCTACACACAGGAGTGACCCTGGGTAAGAGTGACCTTTGGTGCGCGGCTCTGGGGGGGCCGCGGGGGGGCCGAACACACAAGCACACTAGACGCCACTGCCGCCTCGCCTCCGGCGATCGGGGGGCCCCATTTGGCCCGCACCAAAGGTCACTCTGGCGAAAGGTCACTCTTACGTCTAGTCGACTCCTTCGGCGGTGGACAAACCTCCCTTTAGTAAACCTCCCTTTAGTGAAAACGGCCTGGGACCGAAACCGACGGACCTGGACCCGCAAAAACGACGGCCGCGACGCCCTCTCGCGAACCGAAAACGGCCAATTCCTAAATCGACGTGTCAGGGTAGGAGGTCTGTCCACCCCCGACTCCTGTAGAGGGGCGTGCCCGACTCGGCTCTCCCGCCCGGCTCAAAATCCACTCACGAGCCGACCCCGGAGCCCTTCCGGGGCCCCGACCCGCTCCTCGGGGCGGCTCCGGCCGTGAGGTCACTCTTACGTCTGGTCGACTCCTGTAGAGGGGCGTGCCCGACTCGGCTCTCCCGCCCGGCTCAAAATCCACTCACGAGCCGACCCCGGACCCGCTCTTCTAGGGGCCCACCCCGACCCGCTCCTCTAGGGGCGGCTCCGGCCGTGGCGACCAGAAGGGACTCCACACGGCCTCGGAACGAACGAGACAGCTCAGGCATGGCCGCCATTGTCTCGATGGTCCCCACTCCGACGCTCTCTTTCTTTCTTTCTCTCTCTCTCTCTGATGCTTGTGTTTGGTTTCTCTCTGCGTTATCCTCATTTCTCTCTCTCTCTCTCTCTCTCTCTCTCTCTCCCGCCCTCGCTCTCGTTATGGCTGTATGTTGATGTTCCCTATCTGTCTCTCTCTCTCTCTCTCTCTCCCCTCTTTCGCTTTCCATCTCTCCCATTTTCTCTCTCTCTCTCTCTCTCAATATTTCTCTCCCTCTCTCTCTCTCTCGCTCTCTCCCCCTCTCCCGCCTCTCTCTCTCTCTCTCTCTTTCCAACCCCCCAGGAATTGCAAGAGCGGCACCCCCGCTGGACACCATCGGGCAGTGGCCTGGCATGCGGCCCCACGGGGTCGGCCCACACGGCCACGCACCAGAGCGCTTACCCGAGGCGCCCCGAAGGGATGCGCGGTGAGGCTGCAAGCGCCTGGGAAGCGGAGTGGGACGACTTCCAGCGAGAAAACGGCCAGCGATGCCATAGCCGAAGGCATGCGCCGACGATGCAAGACTGTGCAAGCGCCCATGCGAGATTCATGAGCCTCATGCTCCTGTGTGGCTGTGGCCCACCAAGCAAGTCGAGACCGGGAATACCAGGCAACCGGGCGGGTTCGAAACCCTCTGGAAACGCGTGGGGGAGAAACAGGTCTTTAGGGGGAGTCCGCAACCACGGGGGGCGGCGGGCGGGACAGCAACCAATCCGTCAGTGACTGTGGATAAGACCGCCCCCATTCGATCAGCCACCCCCCAGGCCCGCTTGGCAGGATGCCGCACTGCTCCGCCGAGCCACTCTGGAAGGGCTCGCCTCACGGCGCACCGCGCCCAAGACCGAACAGGATCGCACAGCGGGTACCACAGCGTCATGGTTCTCCCGCCAGTGGGCCCAATGGTTACGGTTGTGGCTGTCGATGTTGTTGCTTCGGCGAGGCTTTACGCAAGCTTGGCGGTTTCGTCGCTTGTCTTTGACGTTGAACATTCGTTGATGCATGTTTTTCACGGTCGTTGGCATGATCGTCGTTCTCGGGGTTGGTGCGAATGTACGTAGGTTTGGAGATGCACGGCTTGTGTGGTCGTGCAGTCAATTACTTGACTCGGTAAATCCCCTTCTGCAGTCAAGGCTGTGATGGAATGGTGACGGGGTCTGCCTGCTTGAGGAAAGAGCGCGGGCCCAGGAGGAGGAGAGAAGGGGGGTAGAAGGAATTCGGGGAGAGGGAGGAGAACTCAGAAGAGAAGGAGGTTGGGACAAGAGGAGCATACACGAGCAGGAACATCGGGGAATGAGACACGGGTCGTGCTCCCCGAGGCTGCCTCCAGCGACCCTGGCCTCCGAGGCCCCGCTCACCACGGACCGCCGTGCGGGGCCCCCCGGGGACCTCGAGGCCGCCGCACCCCGAGGAGGGGTGGCCCCTGGGCCCCGCCGAGCAGCGCGCGAGCGCAGCGCCCCGCGGGCACCGAGCGCGGGCGAGCGCCGCGCCAGCAGCGCCCGCGCGGCGGCCCGCGGCGCCCGCGCGAGGCGGCGCTGGCGCGAGCAGGCGCCCGCACGGAGCAGCCCTCGGAGGCGAGCGCCGCACGAGCAGCGCCGAGGCAAACGCCCGCCCGCCGCCGGCGGGGGCCCGCTCGGCGGGGTCTCGCCGCTGTCGCGGCGGCGTCGTCGGCGAGGGTGCGGCCCCCCCGGCGGCGGTGCGGGGAGGGAGCCAGTACACCATGTTGTCGAACTGCGGGGTCCGCTTGCCCCTTTCCCCTCCTCTTCCCCTCCGACCCGGGCCACTCGCTTCCTCCTGTTCCCCCTGCCCTTCGATCCTCTTCCCCCCCACCAGCTCCCCCTCATTTCCCTCCATCTCCTCATCTCCTCATGTCCCTCTCCCTCTCTCTCTCTCTCCCTGTCATTTCTCCCTGCTATGAGGAGCAGGTCCATGTCCTCTGCCTCTGACAACCTCCTCTGACAAGCCTGCTGGTGAAGATCAAGCAGGCGGGCGTATCATCAGCTCGAACCTTTCGTCACATGACATTCGATGAAATCCTTTGCGTAACAGCGCCTCCCCGAGCGAGCCGGCGTGCAACCCCACAAGCCCTTTAGGTCGTGAGTGGTTTTGCAGGTGTCTTCTTTCAACCCCTTCTTCTCCTTCGGTGAGGGGCTTATCAACGTTCCAAATAAACACCCTTCCCCCAGGCGACCGGCAGCCAACCAAGACCAATGCGTGCCACCCCCACCATCCCTGTCAAGAAATGTTCCTGGTTAATGATGGACCCAAACGTATGCAATTGTGAATACCGCCGTTGTGGGAATTGCCTTCGGTGGAGCTCCATCCGTGCACACAGCGCGCGAATGTAGCGCATCAATGGTGCGGGGCCGTCATGCGGGCGCTGCCGCTGCGGCCTTCGGTGGAGCTCCCTGTGGGGCCACGAAACGTATGCGGGGTGTGCCAAATTGGAGCGGGGGGCGGCATGCGGACCATGGCGCTGGGGCCTTCGGTGGAGCTCTATATGGGCCCACGGAACTTGTGAGAGGTGTGCCAAAATAGAAGGGGGGCGGCATGCGACCCATGCCACTGAGGCCTTCGGTGGAGCTCCATATGGGGCCACGAAACGTGTGAGGGGCGTGCCGAAGTCGAGGGGGGTCCGCGTGCGAATCACGCCATTAGGCCCTTCGGTGGAGCTCCCTATGTGGCCACGACGCGTGGGAGGGTGTGCCCAAATCGAAGGGGGGCGGTGTGCGAACGGGGCCGCGGAACGTGTGAGGGGTGTGCCAAAATGGAGCGGGGGCGGCATGCGAACCCTGCCTCTGGGCCGTAAGTGGAGCTCCCTCCAGGGCCGCGAAGCGTGCCAGGGGTGTGCCAACTTGGACGGGGGGCGGCACCCGAACCATGTCACTGGGGCCTTCGGTGGTCCCTGGGGGCGGCCTGCGAACCCTGCCTCGGGGCCTCAAGTGGAGCTCCCACTGGGGCCGCGAAGCGTGCGAGGGGCGCGCCAAATCGGACGGGGGGCGGCGCTCGAGCCATGCCACCGGGGCCTTCGGTGGAGGCCCCTGAATGGGGCCACGAAGCGTGTGAGGGGCGTACCAAAATGGAGGGGGGGGCGGCATGCTTTGGACGCCCGAAATGGGTACGGAAAAAAGGGGTACAGTGCCCACCAACAAATGTTGTCCCAAACCGGCAGCGGCCGCTGTTGGGCGGGCGGCCTTCTGTCTCAAACGGACACAGGCCGCGGCGGCGTGGACAGCGAGTCCTGTTCAAAATGAACAAGAACTGCAGTTGGGCATTGTACCCATTCTTTCCGTACCCATTTCGGGCGTTCAAACATGCGAACCGTGCCACTGGGGCCTCCGGTGGAGCTCCCAGCATCGACCTCGCGAGAGCTCCGTACATGCATCTCATGGTGGCGCTCGCCGCGCGGATGACGGCGGAGCTGCTGCGCAGGCGTCGGCAGGCGGCGGTAGCAACAGTTCGCCATCCGAGCCCCGTGGCCCTGGTAGAAGCCTAGCACAGTAAGCATCCTGCCTGGGTCGGGCGAGCGCCCGCCGAGCTCGGTCCCTCCGGATATTAGAAGTTGGATTCGGCCGGGTCAAGATCCCACCCCTTGTAAACAGGGTGAACGGAAGTCCTGGGCCCTCTTGAGGGATCCCGCCGTGTTGAGATCGGCTGGGCGCAAGCTGGGGTTCATAAGCTCACGGGCTGCTGCTGTGGTGGGGCCGTCTTGATACCATCTTCTGGCGATGCGCGCGCCGCCCTGTCGCCGCGGACCCCTCGTCAGGGCCTCTTGAAGCCATGTCGGGTCATCTTAAGATCAACTTCGCATGATATGCAGGTCGCGGGACCGCCCACTGCGTCGACTTTAGAACGGTACTGGGTACATCTAGAAGGGTCATCGCGTAGGCAGCCTGGGACTCAAGATGCCCTGTCGGGATCATGCTGGACCATGGGGTCATTTCAATTGCGCTTGGAGGTCATCGCCGGTGGCCTAGGGCCCGAGTGATACCACGTTTGGGCTATGAGGTCACGCGGTCATTGTGTGCACTTGTGCAACTTCCCCGTCAGCCTTGTCAAAGAAACTTTTGTTGGAGCCAAGTATGGGGCCAGGACATGTGTGATGGATTTGCCAAAGTGGAAGGGGGGAGGCGGCATGCGAACCATGCAACTGGAGTCTTTCTTCGGTGGAGCTCCCTTAGGGCCAAAAAGCGTGTGATGGGTGTTTCAAAATGAAAGGGGGGGCCTGCGTTGGAGCTCCCTATGGAGCCCCGAAGCGTGCGAGGGGTGTGCAAAAGCGGAGGGGGCGGCATGCGAACAATGCCAACGCCACTGAGGCCGTCGGTGGAGCTCACTATGGGGCCACGAAACGTGTGAGGGGTGTGCCAAAGTGCGGCCTGTGGCGGGAGGAGTGGAGGAGGGGGGGGAGGGGAGGAGGGGGGGAGAGGGGGGGAGGAGGAGACGCGGGGGCTATCTCTTCAAAACGAAAACCCAACTCAAAATGTGAAGTCCACTACGAGCAAAATCTCCAGTCATGATTGGGGGGTGCGCAAGCACTTTGTACTGTTTGTTTCAGGGACGGCGGGAGTGCCCATATCTTGATTGCTGCGCGCAGGACCAGCATCCCTGACAAAAAAACACAACATTAACTTCGAGGCAAAACCTGGATCATGCGCGGGCAACACCAGATCACGGTGCATTGGTTTTTGACTGGGACGCCGGGGGTGCTGGTATATTGCCTGGTCGAGACACTATGATTCCCGACCCGCCGCGATTGCGCACTGGAATTCGACGAGCACGTCTCCCTAGGGGCGCATTTTGGATGATAATGAAAAATGTTCAAAGAACAAGGTTCAACAAATATCCAGAAAATACTTTACAAAATCGTCCCCAGACTATTTTTGGAGTATTTTTGAACATTCCCCCCGTGGAGGGACAGGCCCGGCTTAATGCTACATCCTCCTGAGTGTCAAGAGGAGCATGGGGTAGGGGGAGGAGAAGAAGAGGAGGAAGAGGAGAATGCAGGAGCGCGAACAGCAGCGGGAAGAGGAGGGGCAATCGATCCCGTTCGCTGGAACCCCTGACACGGCCCAGTATAACTCCTCTCGGCGACGCGCAAGAGAGACCCTGGGCAAGAGCGATCTTTCGCTCGCGGCTTTCGGAGGGCCCAGAGGGGGGGGGGGGGGGGAAAACCCAAGCACACAGGTGCGAGTGCGATCCATGCCCAGCTATTCTGTAGGGACCCCTGTGGGCCCGCACCGAACGAAGGTCACTCTTGCGAAAGATCACTCTTGCGCCCCCCGCCCCTGAACGGCAGCAAGCAAATGCGACCGGCGCCGCGTAGACTATGTCCGGCGTGCCGTCGCCGTCGATGTCGGCCACGTCGACCGACTCGGCGGTGTCGGCCGTTTGCGCCGCCACTCTCTGCGGCCTCGGCGGAGCTGGGGGGGATCACCGTCGTCGTCACCGTCGTGCTCGTCGTCGCAATCCTCATCGTGCTACCTTCTCCTCCTCCTCCTCCTCCTCATCGTCCTCCTCCTCCTCCTCCTCTTTCTCTTCCTCGTCCTCATCCTTCCTCCTCCTCCTCTTCTTCGTCCCTCGTTCATTCCCCCTCCTCCCTCCTCATGCTTTCCCTGTGAGGATGGGCCGGCTCCCCCGGGTGCAGCAACAGCAGCCGTCTCCAGCGCAAGCCGCCCGTCACACCCTGGCTGGGCAACAGTCGCCGGCGCGAGCCGCCCGTCACGCTGAGCGAGTCCTTCAACTAGTGAGCCCGCGTGGTCCCATATGGTCGTGTTGCTGTGGAGCACTCCTTCTCAACGGCTTCGACCTGTTCTTCCAGGCCAACTGGCACCTGCCCTCCTGAGGCCTTCTGTTTCACATCCTCGCCAAGGCCCACTGCACATGTCCCCGAGTTCCCGCACTGTGGCTTCAAGCGCTTCGCGCCGTCCGCCGCCCTTTCGTTTCGGTGCGCTGTGCCGCCTGGGACTCTCGACTCTCGGGGCTGGGCCTCCCTTCGCCGAAGAGGGTGGCGATCGAAACAAGCTCTCGGGGTGAGAGCCTTCAGCAAGACAACGCGCTGACTGCTGCAATACCGAGTCCGACCTGCCTGCTTGTTTTCCCCCTGCCTCCACCTCCTCCCTGGTCATCCCACCACGCCCTGCCTCTTCCATGACAGGGGCCGACCTTCGATCTTCCCCCACCCTCTCCCTGCCTCCTCCTCCCCCTGCCACTCCTGGAGGCACCGGGAGCTCCCCCGAATGCCTCTGGAGACCAGGGAAGGGCCCGGAGACTCCCAGAGCCCCCTCCTCCTCCCTGGACATCCGATCGATTATTGTTACCAGCCTCGAACGTATCCCTATCCTTAAGATTGACACGCCCCAAGGCGATGACAATCTTAGGGATTCGCCCTCAAAAAAAAAGGGAATCTCTAAGATTGGCATCGTGATGAGGAGGTGCCCAGCATAGGGATAGGGATATGTTCCAGGCTGGTAATATTGTTCCCGCCAGCGGATCCCAAAGGTTTCGACTCCTTCCCTGGGGGCAGTTTTGCGCTCCAGAAGGATCCACATCTGATGGCCCGGGCGCCTGAAAACAGCGCGGGGACTGAAAACGCCCGCACCTCTCGAAGACTGGGTCGCCGCCTTCTCCTCCAAACCTGCTCCTCAAGAGGGAGGGATGGGCTGACGAGTACGGACGAGGGAATGATGGCGGGGGAAGAAGGCAGGAGGACGGAGGAGGGAACTTCGGAGGGGGATGAGGGGGATGCGGAGTAGGAAGTAGAGGCCAAGGTACTGCCACAGCACCGGCATGCTTCGCCGCGACCAGACGGAGTTCGGGACGACGCCTGCCCAAGAGGCAACACGGGCCTCGGGATCACGGGCCCTGGAACTGCCCACGACGACGAGGATGGGGGGGGACGACAGGCAGGGCAGGATCGCAAACGGCCAGCGGGGTGGAGGATCGGATCACGTGGCTGGTTGTCCTGGCGCCGGGAGGCGCCCGTGTATCGAGGAACGGGCCCGTCGGCGGGGCGGAAACCAGCTGCGTGCAGCAGATTGCGTAGCACCCCCCTTCCCCAATCCCACCCTCCTGGGCGAACCCGAGAGGAGAGCAGGCGGGGACAGGATCTCAACACGCGCCCTAGACATACACTGCTGGAGGCCCGCGCGCAGGTCTCTCTGCTCCACGCAAGGGCTCCCCCCCCCCGGGCGCGCGAGAGAGAGGCCTGGCGCTGGCCCGAAAGCTCCGCGCGTCACACCGACGGCTTTTGCCTCCTCCTCCTCCTCGTCCTCGTCCTCCTCCTCATCGTCCTCGTCCTCCTCGTCCTCGTCCTCGTCCTCGTCCTCGTCCTCCACCTCCTCCTCCTCCTCCCTCCTCCTGCTCCTCCTCCCCCGTCTCCTCCTCCTCCTCCTCCTCCTCCCCCTCCTCCTCCTCATCCTCCCCTTTGCGTGCTGCCTTGTAGCTAGAGGCTCTGGAGGAGGAGGAGGGAAGGACGAGGGACCAGGAGGGAGTAAGGGGGGAGATGTCGACCCTATCCCAGGCTTCGGGAGGTCTTCGAATGGACCAAAAAATCCCACCAGCCCATGAGGGCGTAGGTGGTCTCGAGAGCTTTCTCTTCCAACCCCCTCCTTCCCATTCGGGGAAGGCTTCATCATTGTTTCTTCTTAATATACACCCCCTACCCGGCCGGCCGGCGGCCAATCCGGAACCATGCCGGCCCCATGCGGGCCCGCCCCCCACCATCCCTGTCAGAAAACAATGTGAACCGCCCTCGGCCTCCACATTTGGAGCATGCGCGGCCAACCCGATGCGCCCCCCCCACCATCCCTGTCAAAAAACAATGCAAAATACACTTTGGGGCAAAGTCTGGAGTCATGTTCGTAAGGCCCGCGAGCACCCTGTATGTTCATCTTGACAGGGACGGCAAGGGTGTCAGCAGATTCCCTGCTGCGCGCCGGGCTACCATCCCTGAAAAAAACAATACAAACAAAACACCTCGCGGCTGAATCTGGATCATGCGCGGCCACCCCGCGATCGCTGCCAGGTGGTTGTTGACAGGGACGGCGGGGGTGGTGGAGCGCGGCCTACTGTGCGCAGGCCCACCAGACATAATGATGGGCAGCACACCTGGCGCACTCGGAGCACGTGGCGCATCTGGCGCACCAGGCGTGCCTGGCACGCTCGGGCGCCAGGGGTGCCTGGCGCGCGTGGCGCCCCTTGCACGCGTGGCGCACCTCACCCAAGCGTCGGGGCACCCGGGATCGGGTTTAGTTCCCAGTAACTGTCCATCCAAAGACGACCGCTGACCATGCTCAGGCATGGGTTTTACTTACGTTGGGAGGGCGGGTGGGAGTGAGCTAGACGGCTTGCGGGCGGGTGGGTAGCTTGACCCCTACCCCTGTCCGCTCCCCTGCACCTGGAGGGGGCACCCCGCGAGGAGTTAGAGGGTCCTTCTGGACCCAAATGGCTCCGAGAGCGCCTCAGAAAGCCCAAGATGACCTCCAAGATGGCTCAAGATGGCCCAAGCTGGTTTCGAAGATGCTCCAAGAGGCCCCAAGACCGTTCCAAGGTCCGAGACGGCTCCAAGTTGCCACGTAGCCTTCCACCGAGGCCCCCGAGGGGCCAAAATCAGAAAACAACCTAAGGACAATCAATGAATGTTGCCGTCTCGCCTTTTTGCTTGGGACGGCCTTCCGAGGCCCCAATATTGCTCCACGAGCGAACCAAAGGGGCCCCAAGGGCGCTCCAAGATGGTCCCAAGAGGCGATTTGGGGGACGTCCGAGGGGGGAGGCTGACTAAGGACCCCCCTTCTTTGCTCGAGCTCTCCAAGATGGCTTCAAGAGGGCTCCTGAGGCCCCTGAGACAGCTCCACGAGGCTCCCGAGAGACCCCCAATAGGCCTGAGGCACCCAAGACGCTCCAAGAGGCCCCCAAGACGCTCCCAGAGGGACCATTCCTCTGTGTGCTGCCCACTTTCCTGGTCAAGGCAAATCCTTTTGGCATCGTCTCTGGATGGGCTGGTGGGGTTGCGCGAAGCGTCAAGAATTTGGGGTACTATGGGGGACGTGCATCCACAATAGGGGTGCGTCCGAATAGCCCCCTGGAGGGGTATCCAAGGGTCTCCCTCCTTTTCTGAGCGGTCTCATTTGTAGAAAAGCCAGGGTCTGGGGGAAGAAACATCGCCTGAGCCGTAGACAGCTGAGGGGACGAAGGGGAGGCCGTCGAGGTTATTGAAGGGGCCCCAGGACACACAAATAAATACACACAAATAGACATATTCCCATTATTTTCCTATATTTTTGAGGCTTTTGTTTTCCCCCCAACTCGCTATATTTTGTACATGTTCCTGGGAGTCGACGATTCATTGTGTCTGTGTGTTTCTCTCCCTCCTGAGTTATAGCACCAGGCCCCGGGGAGCCGCAGCGGGCCGCCCCCCCCCCCCCTCCCTGCAAGGGCAGTGCAGCTCCTCCCGCCTCCAGTAGGGGGGCCACCTGCCTGCGAACCCTGCCCCAACCCTCATGTCGGGCGTGTCCCCCTACAGGGGGATTTTCGACGAAAAAATAAAAATATACCAAACATATTCCAAAAAGGTTAAGAAAATACTAGAAAAATAATACCCACACTATTCTTAGACTGTTTTGGGGGTATTTTTGATTTTTCATCGAACATCCCTCTGTAGGGGGACAGGCCCGACTTGACCCTACTCCCCACGATTTCTGAGTGGGAGGGTGGGGTTCACTTCACTTGGGAGCTCCCGAACGAAGTGAACCCAACCTTTCCCCATCAGAAATCGTGAGGGGGTATGGGTAGGGTTCGCATGTGGCCCCCTACCCAGGGAGCCCCGACCCCCCCCCAAGAACAGCACCAGAACGACCATGAACACACAAAGCGCCAAGACCGCCCCAGACTCGCGTGCGAAAAAAACCCTTTCGTCGACCCTCGGCCGTGACAAAAGGCCTCTTATAGCTGGGGTCGGAGACGCTGTGGTCGATGATCGCGCCGCATCGCCGATGCATCGGCGATGCATCCGCGATGCACCGGCAACGTCGACGATGCGCCGGCGACGTCGGCGTCGATACGCTCGGGCTCCACATCAGGCCGCACCGCTGACGCGTCGGCGATGCGACGCGATCCTCCGACCCCATATGCTCCGACCCCATTCAGGAGGCCGAGAGTGACGATGGCGAGAATTGCAATGTCTGTGCTGACCGTTGCAAAAAGGGGCAAAAGAGGGCAAAAGAACCCTGAGTCGAATCGATAAAACGGATCGGCGATCGAAATGAGTCGGACCAGCGGAAACCGGCAGCCGAGTTGGGAGAAGTCGAATCGGTGAGAACCAGCAGGCTAATATGCCTTCAATGAGGCGTCGGAGCCCAAGTCGGAATCCCAAGTCGTATCGAATCGGAACCGGAAGCCATCGAGATCGAGTCG